AATTAGGTTGTTTCTGTATCTCATAATGCTGCAATGAACATGGGGGTGCAGATATCTCTTTGAGATACTGATTTCATTACCTTTGGATATATACCCAGAAGTGGGATTGCTAGATCATACGGTAGTTCTATTTTTAATTTTTTGAGGGTTTTTTTTTTCCATAATGGCTGCACCAATTTACATTCCCAACCAACGGTGTACAAGGATTTCCTTTTCTTCAATATCCTCAACACTAATTATCTCTTCTTTTTGATAAAAGTCATTCTAACGTGTGAGATTATATCTCATAGTGATTTTGACTGCATTGCTCTGGTGATGGATACTCGGCATCTTTTCATGTACTTTTGGCCATTTCTGTGTCTTCTTTGACAAAATGTCCACTCAGAAACTTTGCCCACTTTTCAATCAGATTATTTGGTTTTTTTGGCTATTGAGTTGTGTGAGTTCCTTAGTATTTTTTAATATTAGCTCCTTATCACAGTTTGTATAGTATTACCTCCCATCCCCTAAGTTGCCTTTGCACCCTGCTGATTTTTAGTCCAAGTAGTCTCACTTACTTATTTTTGCTTTTGTTGCCGTGCTTTTGGTGTTCTAACCAAAAAAAAAAAAATCATTTCTAAGACTAAAAAAACAGAGCTCTTTCCCCTCTGTTTTCCTCTAGGAATTCCACAGTTTCAGGTCTTGCATTTAAGCCTTTAATCCATTTTAAGTTAAATTTTGTGAGTGATATAAGTTAGGGGTCCAGTTCCGTTAGTGATATTAGCTTTGATCCCTCTGTTAAGGTGGTGTCTGTCAAATTTTCTTCTGTAAATTCAATATTTTTCCCTTTGTAATTAATAAGTAATTTGTGAGGAGATATTTTCAGGATATGTAAATATCTTAAAAACATTTCTTCACACTTTCAGCCACTAATTTTAGCACTCATCAGTTTTTTATAACACTATCAAACTTCCTATATTTATTAATTGACATATACTGCAAATAAGAGCTTTCCCTTCTCTCTTAATTTTTTAAATTCATTTATTGATTGATATCAATATAAACTCATCCATTCTTAATTTCTTCAATGGGATATAATTTATTGCTTTCATTATTTGGATTCTCAAATTCTCCTAAATTTGAACAGTGGGAGCCCTTTCAAGCTAGTTTGTGGATCCTTTTGACATGAAGGGCCCACAATCATTAAATGATTATATATACGGTATAATGGCATATACATATGTAAAAAAATATATATAATATACATTATATATTTAATATATTGATATATATACATTTATAATTATATTGTAGTTATACAATTAGCTTAATCCTTATACTACACTACCTCCTGGGCACTTCCAATAGCCTCTGAGGTGCCCAGACAAGTCTGGTAATAATAAGAACCACACAAAACACAACAAAAGAAGCTGAGCTTTATTGATTCTTTCTCTGCACCAGGCATTGTTCCATCTGCTCCTGTGCACTATTTTACTTAATCATAACAAAAATCCTATTTTTCTGACAAGGAAATCAAGACACAGGGAGGTTAAGGAGGAGGCCAAGATAATCCATCAGCTAAATCAAAATGTGAACTTCAAATTTTGTCTAACTTGAAAGCCCTTGCACAATAGAGGATAATTACAAAAGGGGAGCACATTTCACCCAGTTGAGATTCTCTTTTCTGTAGGTCCCAGGCCCGTGGTGTTACTGCAACATGGGCTGCTTGGAGATGCCAGCAACTGGATTTCCAACCTGCCCAACAACAGCCTGGGCTTCATCCTGGCAGATGCTGGTTTTGACGTGTGGATGGCGAACAGCAGGGGAAACACCTGGTCTCAGAAGCACAAGAGCCTCTCCATAGAGCAAGATGAGTTCTGGGCTTTCAGGTATATGACTGTTAGGAGAGTGGAGGTGGCCATGGAGGCCTGTGGGAGAGCTGGGGAAAGAACAGTGGCTTCTAGTATTTGGGTGACTCACTTTGGTCGGGTCATCAGTGTGTCCTATGGAATGTCCCCCAATGGTTTTACTTAACAAGTGATTCATCCGGGGAAGTAGTGGGGGGCTTGGGCTCCCCAAGGAGAAGGTGGGTCTGGCTAATGGGGTGAGAATGGTGGTTTGTGTCGGGTGACTGAGGCTGGACTGAGGGAAGTGTAGGTCCATTTCCTTGTAGATGGGTATCAGGGGAATAACTATTCCATGACCAAGGACAAGGACAAGTACCCCCACTAGATGAACAGAGGCAACATTAGAGACATAAAGAAAACTATTAAGCCTTAGGGACTATCAGTTTGACCAACACATTCTCACACTCTTACAAAAGGTTTTTAATGTTTTTATTTAAATTACCATTTACATGCATCTGCTCTTTACCCATTTCATCAGAGAAGCCCTTCTCTGGTGCTCCTTGCAGCATCTTTAATAACTTCTCATATAAATGAATCTGCATGGCCTGTGCTGTTCTGCTAATACTATAATCGGACACCTCCACTAGGATGTGGGTCATGTCCTCAGTAACTGTTCCTTAAAGATGGTTATCACACTGTAATAACATCTGGAGGAAACAGCAGTTTGCAAAAATGCCTGTGTCTGCAGGCGCTCCCATGCATTGCAGGTTTGAAACAAATCCATTCTGAATGTTGTGAGGGGCACAGTAACAAGCTTTTGGGGCTAAAGAATCAGGGGTCTGTTTGCAAACCACAGGGATGCTTTTGCTTGTTTCTGATTATAATTTTTCATATAACTTTGTCTTTTCCCCCTATAGTTATGATGAGATGGCTAGGTTTGACCTTCCTGCAGTCATAAACTTTATTTTGCAGAAAACGGGTCAGGAAAAGATCTATTATGTCGGCTATTCACAGGGCACCACCATGGGTAGGTTCCAAGGAAAGCAGGTTTGTATATTTGGAGGAAATGTGAGCATTATGGCACACACCTATGTCTGGGATATGAGCCATAGTACACTTCTCCCAGGTCGGGCCTTTCACTCTTCAGAGACAGGCTCTAACAGCTCTGGGAAATGGGGATTAAATTGAGAGAGAACTAAATAAATCAAATCACATCTGGCTCTACAACCTCTTAGGTGAATGTCCTTGAGCAACTTATTTAACCCCTCTGGTCTGTTTCCTCATCTATAAAATGGGCATCGTAACTCCCTCTTCAGGGTACTGGAAGTGTTTGGACTATTTAATGATAATGTACATAAGCTCTGTGAAGGCCAGGATCTTGTCTAGGGCACAGCCATTAAGAGTAGCTTCTGGCCCAGAGAACATACTCAATAAGTGAATTGAATGAATAAGGCCATGAGTTCAGGCACATAAAAGGCAATCAATAAAAAGTAAGCATTGTCATCCTCTATAAACAGAACTGATGGAGGATTTTATTCAGGTCTTTTTCTTTCCCAAAGCCAATGTCTAGAATCATGTGCTGTTGTCCTTTCACTTTTGAGGAATTTGTGAGAAGCTTTAATTCATGGCCTGCCTAGAACACAGATCACCTGACTAGGGAGATGGGAGTGGAGTTTACAGCCATCCTCCCCAGGCCAGTGGAAAAAAATGTGATTGGTAAAAATGAGGATCAAGGCAGATCAGGAGAGGCACAGTGTGCCCACGAGGAGAAGGCTCTCTGCAGAGGGCTGAGAACAGCTCTTTACTTTCACCTGAGCCAAACCCAAAGATGAAGTCTGGAGAGATGGATTCTAAGGAGGCAGGTGACCACACACCTACTGGAACCCAGGAAACAAGTCCAATTAGTTCATTTTTAACTGATGCTTTTTAGTGAAGGAATATTCTTCTTCATATTTTCATATTTTCTTCTCTGGATTTTTCGATTCCCATGAAGCTTTGTTTCACCATGAACTTCATAGATAGAAAGTTAGGGTGGCACCCCTGCTTGCATTCTGATATCAGAAGCCTTTAAAAAAACTTTTTTCTTTACTCAAATTATGCAACTTAACATGAAGACAAAGGTGTTTACAATGAGGCTTAATGCTATTTCTAGAAGAAGAAAGAGGCAAAAAACAGAGGATTCTTCTAGTAATCAACCATGGAGCTATTAATATGGAGACATTGTACTTACTTTGCATAAAAAGAACTGCTTCTGGGAGAAACTAGAGTTCTCAGAAATCTAGAGTTCTCAGATATTGACATTTGAGGGGAGTTCTAATAGGGTCAGAAATAAGGTGGAATACAGTTTAATGTATTTTCAACCCAGTTCTATTAATGGTAAAACTGGCAGAGAAAAGCTAATAAGTCACTCCTGTGCCTGCCTTTGCTTTTGCCTGGCAAACCCGATGACATGCAAGGAAAAGTAGAGAAGAAATCACTCTTCATTAATACACACTTACCTTCTAGGAACTAGACAGAAGTCTCATGATTCTCATTTTCTTCTGTCCAGCTCCACTCCCCATCAAATTGCAAATATCAGTCTAGGCAGAAAGAGTACACAAGTTCTTTTGAAACAGATACATAGTATTTCAAATATAATGACCATGCCTTGGATTTATACAATAGCCTTTTTCTCCCAAAGACGCCATAGATATCATCCCTCCACAGTGGTAATTTGGGGAATTTTATAAATATAGAAACTGAGTCACACACTGATTTAACCATTCTGAAGCTGTGAGAAATATAAGAGTTGGACTCCAGCTCACTAGACAACTTGTCTACTAGATTGCATTACAATTGGAGTTCCAGAGAAGTTATAGATCAAGGAAAACCAGCAAAATCCCTACTAACTCAATGTCCATTATGTACAGATTGTACTTATTACCAATAAAAAAGACAGTTTCTCTAATTCTCCATTGATTTCACTATAGAAATTTATTAAAAATATTTGACAAGAGTCTGAAAATTAAATGAGGTAAGAACCATGAAAGTCCCCAGCAAAGTGTCTAACATATAGTTACTTCTCAACAAATATATTTTCTCAAAGACCATATTATTGGACTCAATAATATAATTCAATAATTCAATGAGAATCTACTACTAGAAAGCAAATATGCTACATGCCATAGGGAACACAGAAATTTGCTGCTGATGTTGTCTCCCTCAAGGAGCTTTTAATTTCATAGGACAGTTAAGACACAATCACACCTAATTACTGAAATATCTTGATAAAAGTGAATTAAGCATTTTAGGAGTTCTAGGATATCGATATCACACTAAAATATTTCTTCTCTTGCAGCCTTTATTGCATTTTCCACCATGCCAGAGCTGGCTCAGAAAATCAAAATGTATTTTGCTTTAGCTCCCATAGCCACTGTTAAACATGCAAAAGGCCCTGGTACCAAATTTTTGTTGCTGCCGGCTATGATGATCAAGGTACGTGACTCCTCAGATAATTCCTTGTCTAGGAAGAAGAGTCTTCTAACCCAATTTGCTAAAATACACACTTTCAAATTAGAGCCATTTCTTGACTAAAATTTAATGACTAATATTCCATTTCATATTTTTACAGGGATTGTTCGGTAAACAAGAATTTCTGTACCAGACGAGATTTCTCAGAAAGTTTGTTATTTACCTTTGTGGCCAGGTGATTCTTGATCAGATTTGTAGCAATATTATGTTACTTCTGGGAGGATTTAACACAAACAATATGAACGTGGTAAGTGGGAGCCTAGTAAATTCTGTTTCCCAAAGAAAAGTTATTAGTATCACTCCCTGAGAAGGTGTTAATGCCAAGAAAGACTTGGGGAAATGAGATACTCCAAGTAATTCAGTTTTCTTCAAATCATAGTAATAGGTGGGAAGCACTTCCATCTCGGCTGAGGCCAGGTTAACCAAAGGGCATGGCTAGATATTACCTTTCTAGGTTATAGAATGAAGAGGTCTGAAAGCAGCTTTACTATGGTGAATTAACAGATTTGAAAAAGTGATTAGAACCCAGCAGTCAAAAGAGAACTGCCATGTGTCACCCACCCTGCTTTCTACTCGGGTCTTTCTAGTTTGTAGTTTAAAGGAACGCTCAGGGCTTCAGTTTGACTCAGGTGTATTTACCAGTTGGGGAGGGGGTCACCATGTGGGTTCCCCGGGAAGCACACTCCAAGATGGAGAAGGAAAGGAACAGGATTTGGTGGGTGAAAGAATCAAGTTGTAGTGGAGTCTCCATGGGGGTCTCAATTGATCCTACAGGGATGTGTGAAGATAGGATGACCCTGCGGAACTGTCCCAAGTTAGAGGAGAAGGGCTGGATCCTTCTATGCCTGCATCAGCCAGTCATGTGTGCAGATTGCACAGGGAGAGGGAGGCCTTGGGCAGGGCAGCTCTCTGCACCTAGGACAGTTCCCTAGGGAGACCCGAGAGAGGGGGCTCATTGTCAGCAGCACTCTCAGCAGCTGGAGGAATACATCTGTCTAATTCTTGAAGATTTTTCCCATTTCATTAAGAGTATGATTAATAGCTACCATTTGATAAGCATACTTATGTACCAGGCAATGTTACTCCCTGTGACAACCCTATGAGACAGGTATTATTGATGTTCCTACTTTACAGGTTAGCATTCTGAGATTTAGTCGATTAAATAACTCTCCCAAATTCCCCTAAAAATTAAATGGCAAAGGTAAGATTTAAATGCAGGATCTATTCTAGAGCCCTCACCCTTAATTATTCTAGTAAAATTTTTTTAAAGAAGTCAGAAGTCAGTTCTTCTCAGATGACAAACAGATGACCAGGAATGCATTTGGTGGCATTTTTTATTTATGTGCATGTGTATATTATTGTTTCATGGATAATTGCTGATAATTTAATGTTCCCATTTCTTAGTCTGACATCCTGGACATTTGATCTTGACAAGGTGCACATCTTGTGAGTTTTTCCATGTCCCACAAACCATTCATGCTTTGTTACAGAGCCGAGCAAATGTATATGTCGCTCATACTCCTGCTGGAACATCTGTGCAAAATATCCTACACTGGAGCCAGGTGGGAATGTTGAATCTGTAGTCTTTGTTAAGGGTCTTTATGCATTTTATCTAGAATAATCAAAGGATGCCCTTTGGACAGCCCCAGGGTCATTTTGCATTTATTCCAACATGAAATGTGGTCCTGTCAATGCTGTTTCTACTGTGAATTTAATCTAGAGCACTGAGGTGTTTCAAGAGATGGGAGAAAAGGACTGGCCAAGGACATTTGAGGGGACCTTGAAAGGGCGAATTCTGATGGCCCCAGACCTTTCTAATTCTAACCACCCCAAAGAGTAGGCTGGAGATCTTTTCCACATCCTCCTTTTGGGCTACTCCAGCAGTGTGATAACGTAGTAGTACAAATGTGCAGGTGAGACCTAAGTACCTGGGGGTGTTCACGGAGTCCTCTGTGCTACAGACTCCTCCTGCAGTCATTGGATGGCAAGTCCTGATTCCCAGTGCATCACCTGGCCTGTCTCTAGGGGCAGAGTGCTGGATCCGAGGTAAAACCTTCAGAACTGATTCAAGGACTGTGTAAATGCTAATTATTCTTTCACATGTGAGGAAGCACTGCACCCAGCATTGCTCAGTATAGATGATACTGTAGGTGTCCCCGACTGACTTTGGAGATCAGGGTGGATGTAAGGACAGAGCTAGAGCATAACCAGCCTCAGATAGTCAACCACTAAAAATCGAAAACTTGGTTTAAAAAAAATGGGGAGCCCTTAATTCAAGCAGGAAGTTCATAGAATAGCACTAATATACCTAAATAATAAATACTGGTACTATCTTTTTCTCTAACAATTTAGAGCCTAGTCAGACTGTTCTAAGGTCATTGTGTGTGTGTGTGTGTGTGTGTGTGGTGTGTCTGTGTGTGTGTGTGTGTGTGTGTGTGTGGCAGAGAGAGAGAGAGAGAGAGAGAGAGAGAGAGAGAGAGATTGATTTTATAATCAAAACCAGAGAATTCTGAGTTGGTTACATTTTGGTCACTTTCTCCTGGAATCACATTGGACAGCTCTAGGGGGTGCTTTCCAGTGTAGCTTACAGAGTTGTGCAGAATACCCATCTGCATAGACTCCTAGGGAGATGCACTTCCAGGGGTTGTATAACATAACAGTCAAGTGCAGCACATTTTCCTTCTGGAGGGGCCTTATTCTTGCCTTCATTCTCTTCCCTGAGGGTTATCCCAACACTGTAAGTAAGAGCAGCCTCAGCCTCCTCCTCTGTCTCCCTTACAATCGCAGACTATGTAGCACATTCTCACTGCTCCTCCCATCCTTACCCAGGGACACATCTGTATGCCATGTCATTTTTGTTTCCTTTCAGGCAGTGTATTCTGGGGAACTCCAGGCATTTGACTGGGGGAACGAGACTAAAAATCTGGAGAAAGGCAATCAGGTGAGGAAAACAAATACCATCTACTACACACACACCCTTTTGAAATGGGTGAGAGGGAAGCTAGGAGGGCAAGTTATTGTATAGATGGGAATAAATATGAGAATTCAAGTAGAAAATAATTTTTTGGGTTTGACTCCATTTCAAAGTGGGAAAGTCAACAGCTTAGCCGAGAGGCCTCCTGCTTTGATAATGAACTCGAACTTCTGTGATGAGGCTGCCTTTATGGACAAGGCACAGGGCTTCTAAGGAGCAAGATGGGGTAAGATTCAGTGAAGGGAGGAATATAGTCTGTAGTGGTCACTAAAATGATCCTTCTAGGATAAAAAAAAAACAAAAAACATAAGGATGACAGAGGTGAGGTTGTATGACAGGCCAGTAAAAGAGCATTAAATGGCAAGTGAAGATTACCGTGTTAGTCCGGCCTCAATCTATAACCTGGTGTGATTGTGGACAGACTGTTTTGACTCTCCAGGCCTAGATTTCATCTTTTAAAATTATTGGGCTAGATAACTCTTAGGGATTCTCCCTGGTCACACTTTTAGTGAATCTGTAACTTGCAAGTGAAAAATATGAAAAGAATGTTATGACGCTACCTAAAAATATGTGTAATACGTGGAGAATCAGAAGTGGATATTATACTCTTCTGAGCATAAAATCTTCAGTGAACTTATTTGATGAGCTTGTGTGTGGATATAAACTAATATCAACCATATAAACAGAAAGCTGGAGGGAGCTGAATGGACACTGTCTGATATTGTGAGTCTCCTATCACACTTCACATCCACTTCTGTATATCAACTAGCTACAAAAGGCTAGGAAACTGGACAGACTGTGTAGTGCCCCTGAACAGCAACTCTTAACACAGGTATCAGCTATTTTTTTAGGTCCTTCTTCACTGTTTCCCAAAATATGTCTTTAGAGATTTGCAGCAAATCATTGCAATTCCAAGATAGTTTTAATATATCAACATTTAATGTCTTAAGTTCTAGAGAACTGACTCATACAAAAATAGGCATCAGTGAATGGTCATGGAAAGGAAGAGAAAACACACATACAAAAAGGTGTCATAGAATCTCAGAGCCTTAAAGCTAGACCTGAATTCAGTTCAGTCTTTTCACCTGTAAGATAAAAAATAATTATTACCTGCTCCATAGAATGTTCCAATTTTTCATAGTTAAATTAAGCTATAAAAGGTAGTTCTGATCACCAAATTCTGATGTACGCATGTGTGGAGAGTGATTTCCCCACCCAGCTGGACACCAGCTGAGTGTCCTACAATTTAACTAAAGTGACACTGTCTACCTAGAGACAGCGTCAGATTCCACAGGTCAAGGGCTCAGTCCCACAAAACGGCTTCTGACTGACTGGCTACAATCAGGGGTTCCAATGACCCCCTCCTCAGGTTCGATTAATTTGCTAAACCAGCTCACAGAACTCAGATAAACATTTCACTTATTAGATTTCCAGTTTACTGTAAAAAGGATATAATTCAAGAAGAGCCAGATGGAAGAGATGCCTAAGGAAAAATATAGGAAGGCAGAGTGGACCTTCCATGCCCTCTCCAGGCACACCACTCCCCTCAAACCCTGAGCTCTCTGGTCTGTCTTTTTGGTCATTATGGAGGGTTAAATTCATAGACATGATTGATTAAATCACTGACCACAGGCGATTGAACTCAAGCTCCAGCCCCTCTCTCCTCCCTGGAGGAAGGGGTAGGGGTGGGAAGGAGTGGGGCTGAAAATTCCAACCCTCTAATCACACACTTGGCTCCTCTGGCAACCAGATGCCACCTGCTCCAAAAGTTGCCTCATTAACATAACAGAAGACACCTTGGGCTCTCCTCACTTAGGAGATTTCAAGGGTTTTAAGAGCTCTGTGCCCAAAATGGATGAAAATCAAATATATATTTACTAGAAATCACAGCATCACAGGCTATCCCTCCAAATCCTTAGAAAGCCACAAAGAGGAACAAAAGAACTGCCTGGGTTGGAACCTCAGCTCCAGGGTGCATTTTCTGAGTAAGGAATGGATTCAACTTTACTGTTGAAAGTTCTGGATGCTAATTAGCCTCAAGAGCTCAGCCAGCCTGTCTGATCTAGTAGCACTGCTTGAATAAGGGAAATTCTCAAGGCTTAGCAATCCTAGATACCCATCTTTGGGTGATGGGAGACTGGATCACGAATCCAATTTTTTACCTCCCCTTGGTTCAAACTGCCTGAGTTCCAGTGCCGTTGATTTCCCCGTGTTCTGGAGCTGCGGTCAAGCTGAGCCGGCCTCAAGACCTTTCTGTTGGCCTCAAAAAATCTGAAGACATGGAAGTCTTCTCAGTAGATCCCATTCTCTGTGGAATGCCTCAAACTCTGGCCTCAAGAAACTTTTGTGAAATTATCTTTTAAAAGGACAGGAACACTATCTTTAAAGGCACTTTGTATGTAAAATATTTACTAATAGACAAAGAATAAAAAATTAATGCTTAAAAGTGCTAGGAAATTTACATGTTTTGTCAATTAACCTAGTAAATTGTTATTACAAATCTCATTCCCATTTTGCAGATGAATAAATTGAGATTCAGCAAGGTTAAGCAACTTTACCTTCAAGGAGGGGCTGGAGCAGAAATTGTTATTGCAGCTCTGTGGGCTCCAGTGAAACTTTTGTCATACACAGGGCATGTTTACCCTATTTATTTAAAATGTAAATTATGACTTTGAAAGTCAAATGTTATCTACAGTCAAAAACTATTCCTCTTTTCTAGCCAACTCCCACGAGGTACAAAGTCAGAGACATGACAGTCCCTACAGCAATGTGGACTGGAGGTCAGGACTGGCTTTCAAACCCAGATGATGTGAAAACATTGCTGCCCGACGTGACCAACCTTATCTACCATAAGAACATTCCCGAATGGGCACACGTGGATTTCATCTGGGGTCTGGATGCCCCTCACCGTATGTACAATGAAATCATACATCTGATGAAGCAGGAGGAAACCAGCCTTTTCTAGGGAACATGTGGGGTCAGACGGCAAAGCATCTGATACTGACAAATTTTAGGAAAAACCTCATAGCTGATGGGGCTGGGGTCTGAGAATGGAGGTCTTTAAGGATTTCCAGAATTGAAAATCTACCATATCAGTAGAAGGGAGGTGGAGAAGGGAGGGCAGAGATGTAGTACATATTCCTTCCAATTTCCTGCATTCGGCACTAAAACTGACATTTAAGTTGTTTTGTTTTTTGTCTTTCAGTTAATTAAACTACTCATGGGGTGAAAATGGGTTTCATGTGCTATTATATATTTTACCATCTTGAAGGGTAGGCTTCACCTAACCACTAGAAATATCTAGGCATTCTCTATATGTCATTCAGGTAAACCTCCTTAAAACATTAATTTTTTTTCTGTAAGCCATATTTTGGAGCAATAAAGTAAAATAATAAATTGGGACAGAGGAGAGGTCTTGAATCTCTGGATTGTTGTTGACTTTGACAAAATCAGCTGGACATTTTCACCTTGTTGCCATAGCGACATAACACTACCTCAGAGAGCTGAGCTGCTTAAGAACAACAAGAAATTTTTTTTAATATCTATGTACAATATGGATGAAAAACATTTTAAGCATCTACGGAAAGGGCCAAGTTTTATAGTTAAGTCTCAAGAAGGATATTTACGGGTTTTCCAATAAACCCATTATGCATCACATAAAACATGTATGTGTATTTCAGTATCTGCATTCTTGTCCAAGCTTGTTTGAGTTTATAGCCTGTTGCTAGGCGACCTACTGGCTACAAACGTCTGGCCCAGTATAGCTCTGGGGGAAAATATGTTCCCACCTCAGGGCAAATACCGTTTGAAGCTGAAATCAGTCAAAGGGAGAAATAAAGTGGGGAAACCCATTTATTGCCTACCAGCAGTCGTCCACTTCTGCTCGCCCCTGTCTCTCACAACCTGACTGCAAAAAGGGACCCCACCGAACTTCTCCAGTCCAAATATGCCCTTGTTCCCCAACCTCTTGTAGTCACCTACTGATATGGAGATTGACTCTTCTCTCCATCCCTTGGAAACACCTATTGATATGAAGATGCAGGAAGGCCAGGTGAGAGATTCTGGAAATACTGCAATTTTACGCACACCCAGTTTTCCACCCTCAAAAATTAAAAGCTAGGAAGAAAGTTTTATCATGTCATGAACATCATGAAACAAATTATCCCATATTTTATCCTTTTATCTTGACAAAGTTACTGTTAGACAATCACCCAGCTCATTCACAGATCTGGATTTATTTCTTTAGAAAATTGTTTGATTTTCACACAGTTTCAAAGATGACAGTTATAAATTACTCAACAAATGAGTAATAGCATTATTTTTTAAAACTTTGAAACCAAATCAAAGGTCTACTGCTGGGTGTTGAAGATATATTAGTATGTGAAGTTCACTTGGTTTTTCAATCCCCTGGAGTCACCTGGTAGCTCAGTTCAATGCAAAGGTATCTTAAGTAATTTAAGAGACATTTAAGGACTTCAAAATCTATATTTACACACTCCTACTTCCCTCACAAAGCATGTGCCCTAAGTACCTGCATATAATTCAATAAATATTCCTGGATTTAATTTTTATTAAACCTTTGTTCTGCTCAAGGATGGAAAATCTTCCATTCTTAGACCCTATTTGTTACTGCACATAGTTTGGCTTAGTCCATGTCTGAAGATATTCATGATTCAGTCTTGGGTTACAAAATTCAAGGACTTGAAACAGATATTTGGTATTCACAAGCTCTCCTCTAGAAGTATAATCCAGATACCTCAACATATAGCTTTATTTCTTATAAAGAAATACTCTATCAAATAATTTACAATAAAATTTAAATTTTATCAATACAAATAAACAGAACTAACAAGTTTAATAGCTGCTTTGCAGTCACAAGAGAATCATAAAGCTATTTTTGAACAAACATCTTGATAGTTACATAATTTTGTTCACAATCAAGATGGCTTTTAGCTATAAACTGATAGCAAAATGTCCAGAGGTATGCTGGTAAACTGGCTCTCTAGAAAGAAAAAACAAAACAGCCCTGACTAGTAGCATTTGCCGATTTATTTGGTATAAACATTCTGACCACTGACAACTAATAGATGATTTTGTTAGGGCTGTTTCACCAATGGAATATTTACATATGAAAATCTATGCCCCCACCTCCCCCACCTATACATTCTATACAAATGTATATATACCTTGATTCTTTTCTGCTACTCATAGAGGTCTGAAACAGTTTGTCTCTTGATGGGACAGCTTCTTTAGAAGAGGGAACACTGTCAGGCAACTCAGATCCTCTTTTTCAAGACAGACTGAGTTTGAAGCATCACCTCTTTTTGTCTGAAGTGGAAAATCCAACTGCTTTAGTGTTTTTCCCAGAAGGATTGCAACCTTGGTGAACTCCATGTTGAGCAGAAAAACACTTTAAGTGCAAACTCTTAAAATACATTCCCTAATGACAGTGATCATTATCTCCCATAAAATCATGGTATCCAGGCAGACTGGTCCACAGACCAACAACAGTCCAAGATGGAAATAGAATCCAGTGTATTTTTCCACTTCTTCATCTGAGGCCACAAGGATTACAATGCTTTCCTTAGCATTAGTTCAATCTGGAAAAATTTTAATCTCCGTGCAATATCCAGAGAACTCTCACCAAGCTGAGGAGAAAAAGAAATGATAGCTATTTATCTCCAACAGAGTCAAACGTCTACACAAAGGGCCTAGTAAATGGTTTAGATCGGTTGACTCACAGGTTTGACAAGGGTTTTAAATGTCATTCAGTTCTGTAACAGGATGACTTAATTTCTTAATGAAGACAATTAATTTTGCTATTAACAACATCAGAAGCAATTTATTTACTTCAGCACTGAAATTAGAAGGCCAACATTAGATTATGCTGCTGCAACGACCTCAGACGATGGCCCACGGATCCTTACCTTGTTCTTTATCGTGGGGTCTGCATGGGCTTCGAGGAGCAGGGGGATAAGAGTCTGGTTTTTCATTTTGCAGGCGTAATGTAACGCAGTGCAGCCATACTGAAACACAAAGGACCAACAATAAACTTACCAATCAGACTCCACAGACCACAGCATGTGGCCTCCTGAGCAAGTACTTTTCACATTTTGTAGTGTACAACTAGCAAAAAAGTCTGCAAACCGTCTATGGGCAACAGTATTTCTCATATTTAAAAAGCATGATAATGCTGCAATCACTTAATTTTTATTAAGTGATAACATGATGAATGGAAGATCTGGCTCTGATTTTTTTCCCATTACCTGAAAATACAATACACTGCATTACTTAGAGTTGGAAAATGGATCTTCATTTTTAGATAGTCTGTGAAAAGTGGTGGAGAAAGTTACATGTTTGTGTGTGAGCATATGCACATGTGTGCACAGGGATGTGATTCTCTATTTAGAGATAGAGATAGACATAGATAAGTAAGAGAATATCCTAGAGAAATTTTGGTCACAGGAAAAGTTTTTAAACCTTTTGAATTTAAATGAAAAGACCAAGAAAAACTACCAACAAATTTTTTGCTTTATTTTTAATAGCATCTTAACTAACACATTTCAAAGTTATCTAAGGAATGATGCACAGTTGTAGTCTTTCCAAATTAATCCAAAAATTCAATTTGAAATAAGAGGAAAAACATACATTTCATAAAGTTATTCTTGTGTGAACTCTCTCTTCCTCTCTCCCTGCCCGCACTTACACACAAACACACACACACACAGTCACTACAATTTAAGCATATGATACCAATATAACCAAATTAAAATGATATAAATAGTTAATAGAAATAGGGATGGGGGCAAGTTATCACAGAACAATGGTAACTCACACACACAGATGTACACAGTATAAAATAAAGATCACAAACAGATTATTGGTTTTTGGAATCAGATTTCAACTCACCTACTTTTTCAATAAAGAACTGGGAACCCAAAATTTCATTCAATCCATATAAGCAAGTAAAACTCTGTGCAAATAAACTTTTGACCTACTTGTGATCATTTAAGGGAGGAAAACATGTACAGGAATGTAGAGTTAAAAGGTGGAAAAGAAAAAGTGAGGGGAAAAAAAAGAAAACTAAATGTAGAAGTGTCCAGGAAAATAAAGCATGCAACTTAATAGATGGTAAGTCCGCTACCTACAAATACCATTTTGAATATTGTTTCAAAATGGCTAAAAATAGAAACTTACATAGTCTGCAGCATTAACTTCGACTCCAGCTTCAAGTAGCATCCGAATGAGAACTTCATTCTGCTTCGTCTTTGACAGCTGTAGAAGGGGCAAGAACGGAGAGGTCTATTTACAAACCCTCCCTCCATCTTATGTCTGCACTAATGCATTCAATTGGCTTCATTTAATCCCAACACCCCTATAAGTCTATGCTCTGTCATAAAGTTCCCACCCCCACCTCTGATGTCAATTAGGTAAATGGGGTCTGTGTGTGGTCCCAGAATAGTGGCATTGGCACCCAGCAATGAGAAATGCAAATCTGGGGCCCTGCCCAGACCTACCAAATCCCACTGAGGATGGGGTCTAGTGACCTGTCTTTCCCTTCCTGGCTTAAAACTGTTCAATAATGTCCCATGGCTCTGAAGGCTTAAAGCAAACTCCTCAGGCTGGCCCACAAGGCCCCAAATGAGGTGCCCTCCCTTACGGCCCTTGTGGCTCACTCCACACCTGGGGCTTGCCCTGCTTGGAGCCACGCTGGCCTCCATTAGTCTTTGATGCCCACCGGCCATCCTCATATCATAGAATAGTTGCACTGAATGTTCCTTTTGCCTAGAAGCCTCCTCCCTCCCTTCTTTGCCTGCTAAATTCATCTTGAGTGTCTCAGTCCAAGTCCCTCTTCCAGCAGGAGGCTTTCCCTGACCTACCAGGCCAGGTCAAATCACTCTACTCCTGACTCTCAGTGCACCAATTGCCTCCCTGTACCACCTCCTCTGGTGCTTTTACATATGTTTCTGACATGATTTGACTGGTGACTCTTCTTCACTACCCTCTAACTCCCAAGAGGACAAGGACCACACCTGTCTGAATCACCATGGTAACCCTAACACCCAGTACCATGTCAAGTACTTAGTAGGTTCTTAGTATGTGTTGAATGATTGAACAAATGAATGAAATTAACCTCAGAAATCTACTCTTCCTGCCTAATACCCTGAGATTCTGCCCACATGACAGTGCAAATACCCCCAACATCCCATCACTTTGGGGAGCCTGCCTTCGCTGCTCAGGTGGGCATGTCCTGCGTGTCAGCTCTTTATCATCAGCAGGTTCCACCCAGCTCTCTTCTGTCAGTGCTTCCTTCCTGGGTCAGCCTGCAAACTGCCTTTCTCCTCCTACCCTGCTTTGAAGTAACACAGCTCTTTCTGGTCTCCTCCCTTATAATTTCCTCTCATGTTGCTTATCTCTTATACATCACAAATTTGCAATTTCAGGACCCATGAATAAAGAGCACACGTGCAATCAGAGCTGGGGTACTGACTACAATTATTTATTTTGCCTGTGTCTCCAGACTTTAAACACTGGACTGTCTAAGAAAGCAGGGTTGTGTGGTCACAGATTCTGAATGGCCTTGATAATCAGCTGTGACTTGGTTCTGCATAATCTTTAAAAAGATTTGAAAATGACAGATCCCTGCCTGTCCCCCACCTACACACATTTAAATGCCATATATTAAATATACAATTTTTCAAGAACTTTTCAAGGATATAAGCAGATTATGTGTTTGTCAGTGACTTAAGAGTTGTCTCTCACCTATAAATCCAAGCATCAAAATGAATGTTATCTTATTTAATTATAGTTCCTCAAATTTGGTACCATTTAAATACCCAAAGAGGTAATAACATTTTCAATGGTAGACTTCATTCTGGAGCTTATGTTAACTAATACCCATGGCCTTTTAGCTGCAAAGGGAAGGGAGCTCCGTCATTTAACTGGAGTAAATCACAAATCTGCTGAGTCATCTCTCAAAGGTGGAACTGATCACAAGGGAACCAGATGGAAAAAGGCGACAGTCAGTGCAAAGCTATCACTCTATTAAAACAACAGTAGCAAAATTCAAGCTTCAACTTCTACTCATAATATCACTGCATTCCTCTACCAACTACGTTTTTTTCCCAGAAAAGTACTGCATGCCAAAGAGTCATTCAAGTATAAATGTATCTCTCAAAGTGAAGGAGGGCTTCAAATTCTTTATAAACATCTTCTATGTTTGTCAGCTTCTAAGTGCAAGTTCCTTGGGATCTGTTTTTTAATGCAGAACCAGAGTGGGTCCTTAAAAATCAGAAACTCAGAAAAAATGTACCAAGTTATTAACTCCTCTTACAAGAAAAGGAGAAAAGAAATAGGAGGAGGGGAATTTTTTTTCTTTTAACATTAAGCAGGTTGCTTCCTTCAGATGATTCTTAATCAAGATCAATTAATTTTTCTAAATAAACATTGCACAGATTATTTTACCATTGGATTAACTTATTTTGCTACATTTCTTCTTGCTATACTTCAATTACAACTCTGCATATAGGTTGGAAATGACATTTATGGAATCCAGACCAGGAACAGACTTTGTTACTATTTCTTTCTGTCTCATTGTCCTGGCCAAACTTAAGGATCTCATTCCTGGTCTCCTCCCCAGTCACCCTTTGCTCACAGAGGGGGGCACTCACCATGAGGAAATACCCAAGAAGCAGAATAGGCATTAAGAGGATAATGAGTAGATAATCAAAGAAGGTAAATTTTTTCTTCACAGCGTAATGCAAGCAGGTCCTCTCTTTCTAAAAATTAAGAAAAGAACTCTTTATTAATAAAATATTTCATTTCAAATTTCATATTCTCAGATTACCCAATCAAAAAGTGTAGTTCATGCTTTTTCTCTGTATGGCACTCATGGCACTTCTGTCCGTGGAGTATGTCTGACTGATAAAGACAGGTTTCCACTGACCAGAATACTGACTAGACTGAAGAAAAAGCTTGGGGGTGGGGTGGGGTGGTGCACAGAAAGAAAACAGGTGATGTGTACATTTTATGAACCCTCAAAAGATGGATTCTCACTAGTTTTGAAAAAAAGTAGATTGAGACATGGGACAGAATTCAGTATGAAAAGCTATAGTTAGCCGTTAACCATTTATGGCATATAATTATTCATTTACGGATTGTTCATAGGAAAATTGTAACCACATGGCAACTTTTCCATGTTTCTACATGCACACAGGAAGTGCCAGAAGAACAGAAGTAACTCAACTGTTACTTAACCTCCTGGGAATTGTCAGGGATATAAAGTCTCAGGGCCTCATAATCAAATAAAACCAGGTAGAAATATGAACAAATAGTGTACTTTAATAAACAGGTTATGGTGATTGGAATCCCAACCAAATCAATGAAAAGAAAAGCTGGAGAAGTAAGAGAGGTTAATGTCCACTTCAGGGAGACCCTGGTTTTAAATAAGAATACTTACTGTTTTTCTCATATCAAGGTATGTATGTTCTCTGCAAAAATTTTGTAAACCAGATAAGAATATAATGACAAAATTAAATCACATGTTATCAAATAACTCAGAATTGACTGTTAACATTTTATTGTATCTTCTTCCAGTCTTTTCAGATACATATATGTAGAATTCTAAAATGTAGGATCACAATGAATTTGCAAAAACATACCTGCCCTTTTCTTTAACATTTAGAATATGTGACATTTAATATTTTTAAATATATAACTATAATGGCTCCCTGTCTTTCTACTGAATGGAGCTATTCTATTTGTCCAAACCCTGAATATTGAACACTTCAAGTTTTAGCTTTTCATTTTTATAAGTACTACTACTTGAACTTCCTCATTTGTAAACTTTGTCAACATTTCTAAATTGCTCTTAGCATGAGTTTATAAAAATATAATTCCTGGTAGAAATGGTACTAATGCTTTTCTTATTGTGATGCTAAATGGTGCTGTAATGAAATGATAATAGTTTAAACTTTCTTCTTTATCCACACTTGATTTTTTTCTTTTTTAATCCTGGTCAGTTTGACAGACCAAAAGGTACCTTAATGTTTTAAATTAATTTGCTCTTCATAGAATCAATGTTCTCACTTAAGCATGTGCATCTGAATCACTAGTAGAACTTTTTGTTTGTTTTTAAGGCCTTTATTTGTTTAATATTTCTGAAAATAACTCATAAACATAGATTTAAGAAGTAAGAATGTACTGGTTCAAGTTGTTAATGTACAAAAAACAGTATTTGGGGAAAATGGAAAAGAATAAGCATTTTTAAACTGAAACTGAAAATAGTTTAAAAATAGAAAATGCAAACCAAACACTTCTGATAAAATCTGTTAATCTAAGGCATCCCTAAAGTCCTTTGCTTGATGTTCATGATCCACAGGATCCCAGCAGGCTGGCTCAGTTTCTCGGCAAAATGGAGACAAGGGTGCCTCCTCAGCCCTGACCCAGGTTGTCAGACATCTCTGCCCTGCAGCTGAATGAGCAAAACTCTTGAGAGAGGATCTGAACCCATCTGTCTTTGCCACCCCTTTGCACCACAACTCCACGCACCTGGTTCCCCAGCTGTGTGCTGGGGAGTTCATGTCATACTCTACTGAGCTGCTTTCCTGGTAGATTCAGCACAGGCATGGCTTGCTTTTAAACCCAACCAAACAAAAAATAGTAAATGCAAGCAAAGTCCAGTAGTGATCCATTTTCTGACAATACACTGTTACTCCAATAAGCTGGTCTTTAAACTGACGTGAAAGGGGAAAACAAGGCCCTGAGGGGCCCTACAAGCCTGTTGTTCCTCACTGATTGTACTTGAGTGGGAACAGCACATCCATAATTATTAAAAATAATGACTTTAAATGTTGCCTTTGCTTCAATGATGCAGACACTCCATGTTCCAAAGTGATTCTGAAAGGATGCGCCCAGCACTGGGCTCAGATTCAGCTCTTCCTTCGTCCTGAGGGCTCCAAGTCAGCTAATGTTACATCTTTAAGTACATCTTTCTGTGGGGCTTCGACTTACTCCTGTTCCTGAGCTTATTTGTCCTTGGCAAATTTCTTACTGACATTCTTTCATTCTATAAGCAAACTAACAGATCTTCTGGAGATCAGAACATTGACCTAGTAGGTAAAAAATCTAATGAAATAGCACCACCAGGTCAATATTTTTTCCCCATTAAATCTTTCCCATTACTTCTGTAATAGTGAGGAGGGGAGGGCAAGGGAGAACATGGGCAGAGGAGGAAAAGACAGGGAGAAGCTCTATCTAGTCAAATGAGTGAACCTTTCTCTTCCTTTTCAGAAGTACGAGGATGTCATAAACCACAAAATATGCCGGCCCATTAAATTATGTTTTATGTTGCCTTTTAGTTAATAAAATGTCTTTAGTATGTCAGTCCGTCTAAAGTAAGGCCAAAAAAATTTTTTTTTAATTTTTGTTTATATTAAGGGCTACCAACAATGAGCAAATGACATCTGCTACTTCCACGGACATGAGAAAGGAACCACCCTGGTCAATTCCTCACTCCACTCAAGTGTCACAGCCTCACCCGGTTTTTGAGGTTCACGTCAGCATTTCTTTTCAAAAGGAAGGAAACAATTCTCAGGTGCCCTCGCCTGCAAGCACAGATCAGGGGAGTGTCTCCGTTAAAGCCATCTTGAACGTTGATACAGCTGCCGTCTTCCCTCACCCACCGCCACACCTGACCAAAGTCGTTCTGATAGGCCGCCTGGCAGATGGGCTGAGCAGAGAAACACAAAAGCAGGTTTTGAAACATAGGTGTAAGTCAACCACAGTATGAAAAAAATCATTACCCAATAACTTAAAATTCAAGGGTTTCCAAATTGAAATACATTGCTTTATAGGTGAGACTTTGGGTCTCAATTATGCCTCACCTCACCTTAAGTCTAGAACAAGTATAAGTCCATGAGGAACCTCTTAGAATTTCTAAGTTGCTTGGCACACAGAAATTTCACTGAATGAACAAATGAGTGAGTAAATGGAGGCAATATTGCAGCTTCAACTCAGTAAGGAAATTGTGTGCTGTGTTCCTGCATAGCATTTGCCTATAAGAAAAGTAGGATTTTATGGAAGATAAAATAGGCCTATCAGAGAAGTTTAGGGCAGCTCTAGGAGATGGGACAAAGACTCATGGGCCTCTGTGCTCAAGGAACTCAGCACAGTGGATGAGACCTATTTTAAACAAATAATAGACAAAGATATAATTAACTGCAATTAGATGTTTTTTCATTTCAGAAAGCATTGTAAGGAGGTTGGCAAAGCATGGTGGGAGTTTAACAGCAAGACCTAAGCTGAGCTCACCTTACTCACTTTTCTCTCTCTCCTCTCTTTCCACACTTCTCTCCTTTTTTCCATAACACATGTTCAGCTTCTTCTGGGCCTCAGCCCTTACTGCTCCCTCGGCCTAAAACACTTTTCCCCTTCTCTCACCTGGCTAATTACTATCTCATCGTACCTCATAATTTAATTTTCATTTTATCTAAGTCTTTCCTGACACCAGCAGGGCATCACAGCAACTGTGACTCTTTTCTTAATTACTTATAACAGAGTGTTTCAGGAGGCATTGAGGCAGCAGCAAGGGAAGGCGCTCAAGTTCAGGCTGTGAACTCCATGTGGACAGAGGCTGCATCATTCCAGCCACCACCACATCCCCAGCATATAACACAGCATGGAGCACATGGCAGGCAAACTGTAATAATTTGAGACTGATTTTAATTAGTGTAAAAAAAAGCACTTAGAATAATACCTGGCATGAGGATGGTGCTCAGTATATGGAAGTTATTGTAATTGCTTATTAGGTCATTCTTTAATTTGGTAACAAAGTTAAACCTCTGCTATGTGCCAGTCACATTTGCTTGGAGGGGAAATTTTTTAAATACATTACTCTTATTTTTGTTAAAGTATCACTGGCATACAATCTTATATTGGTTTCAAATATACAACACAGTGGTTCAATAGTTACCCATATTATTAAATCCTCACCCCCTCTAGTGCAGTCACTATCAAAGTAGTAAGATGTTACAGAATCATTAACTGTATTCTCCATGCTATGCTACCGTCCCTGTGACCAATTTATATTGTGATCACTAATTATTGTGCCCCTTAATCCCCTTCTCCGACCCTTCCCCAAACCCAACCCCTCCCTCTTGGTAACCACTAGTCCCTTCTCAGTGTCTATGAGTCTACTGCTATTTGGTTCCTTCTGTTTTGCTTTGTTTTTATACTCTACATTTGGTTAAATATACTACTCTTAACCATGTGAAATGGATTTATCAGTTGGGGATATAGGACACAACACACAAGCAAAACAGTAAGAAACTTAAAGGCATATAGTATATTTGGGTAAATATGCGCCTGCAGCAGTTGGGACAGACCAGTGAGAAAGTTGAATATTGAATAGTACATTTGCTAATCAACTCATGTTCTAACAAAGCCAAATACCATAAGAAGTGAGTTTTTAAAAGTAAGAGTCTTTTAAACCCAAAGACCTAGTCATGAAGAAACAAACATCCTAAAGGCAAGTCAACACAATAACAGGAAGAAGCAAACTTCTGTACCCCAAAAGGAAATGGGCATGACACAGGCGTTCCCATTTGCAATGGGAATGCGCTCAACACTAATCACTCTTTCTACCACCCGGAGGGCTCCCTTTCCTGGGCTTAGCCTCGGGAGTTCAGCAGTGTCTTAGGTACTGTCTGGCTGATCCAGCTAAGCTGAAGGAACGCTTCTCTGGGGTCAGTAAACTGGGTGGTAGTTGTGGTTCTGCTACTGACACCCTGGGTGACCGTGGACAAATCTCTTCCCATCAGTGGGTCTCTGAGTTCTCAGTCACCAAATAAAGGAGGGGGGCAGAAGTTCCTTTAGGTCCTGACACACTATCACACTTCTGGACCCTGGATCTCTTCCCAACCAGTAAATACATCTGCAACCTCAACTGCTAGGGTCCAGAGTTAGTGCTTTTGAAGCACAGAGTGCTCAAAACCTTTCAGTGAACTGTCACTGTCTTAGCCAAGATAGATGTCCCGTCACCTAGATTTAAATAACAAGCAGAGCAGAATTAAATAGAATAAGACACTGTTAAGTCATCAACTCTAATACATTAGACACAATACCATCATTTCATAAAATAAAACATGCTTTCAAGTAATACCTGCACCAAAGAAGAATAGTTTAACAAAATATATAAGGATATAATTAATCACAGAGCAAAAAAAGCAGTCCTATTAGACAGCAGTATAGAAAAACCTATTTTGTTGTCCTTTTTTTTTAAATTTTACCATTAGCCAGTGAAAAGTCACCACTGATCACTGCTAATCATGGATTAGCATCTGGGAAACTGATGGCCTACCACGAAAAACTTGAAAACAGGTGGGCCCACAGTTCATTTCTCTTTTCTTAAACATTTAAAATACAATGTTTAAAAAAAACCTGAAGTACTTCATTTAATAATCCAGCTTGCCAGTTTCTCTTTAAAAATTGAAAGATTTGACAACACTGGGCCCACCTTCCCAAGGACACCAAATAAGGTTCTCTCTGCGTGTGCTCCTCAAACTCTTTACAGAGAGTTAGTTAAAAGGAGGAAGAAAAAAGGTCAGCAGTTTTCCACCAAGAATCACCCGGTGTCTTTGAGAGCCTTCTCAATTCCACTTGAGCAATATTACTTAAAATATTAACCTTATCATCCTTCAGGCTTTCCTGGGCTTCCTTATTATAGGCACAGAGTTTCTATGTTTGAAAAATGAAGTTTCCTCGTGGCTTAGACATATAAGCAATTTGTTTTACAAGTTTGTACAAACTGCTCAGGAGATTCTGTTCTGCTCTGAAGTCTCAGTCTCCACTAGGGGGCAGCTCAAGGTCATAATAGCCGGACAACAGACAAAAGGAAGCCAGAAAGAACTGTGCTGCTGACAGCTGGGAAGGAGAAAGAGGAGGGGGCTGTCCATTTGGGTTTGATGGAAGAGTTCTTATGAATTCTGCTGGCCTCTGAAGTTTCTGCAAGTTGGAGGAACTCTTAGTTGCAGAGGAAACTGATGGAGAATTGGGAAATTACCAATGATCTGTTCTTCTAATAGTCTCAGAACCCTCTGTCCATCCTTGTTGCCAAAGTCGTAGTAGCTCAGATCTTCATCATTTTCACCAGCCCAATTGCAAAACTAGCCAACTTGTCTTACTTCTTCCTGTCTCACCATTCCAGTCCATCCTCCAAAAACAGCAGCTTCATGTTACTTTCCTGCTGAAAACTTTCAGTGGTGACGAATCGGATCAGGACACTGTCCTCAAAGTAACACACATAATTCTTCAAATCTTGCAAATTCTGTCTTTCCAACTTCATCTCCTACCACTGCCTTACTCATACCATTCATTTAAGTACATAAAGATGACGGCTATCTCCCCAACTAGAATGCAAGCCAGGTGAGGGCAGGTATTATGTCTGTGCTTGAACAGCATTATATCCCTAGTAGCCAACATATGCCTAACACATAGTAGATAGTCAATGTATATTTGATGAGTAAATAAGTGAGCAAATAAAGTATAATATGAGCTACCTTCTGTTAAGTACCTTGGTTAGTTTATTTACCCCTCATAGAACCCTATTGGCTAAGTAGGACTATTAACCCATTTTGTATAGGAGAAACTGAGGAAAGTCGTCTTCCTTGCCCAAAGTCACAGAGCTTATAACTGCCAGTTCTGGGAATCAAATCAATGAGAATGACTGACTCTAATTACCAGGCAGTTTGGAAAACAGCCTTCAAAATGTCTTCTGACTGTAAGACTTTATATTTGAGATTAGTTTTGGCTCCACTTACATACAAAATTAAGCGACAGTCTCTACTCTCACGATAATAGTCATTCCTCTTCTACCCTGGTGTTCAAGCCTTCTTGTTAAATCTATTGATTCTTTCTCCAAAATGACCTAGATTTAGCAGTATCTGCCACGAGGTAAAGAAGCAACAATCAGAGAGGGTGCAGGAGAAACCAGAAAAAGATATGGCCCAAATGCAAAGAAGGAAAAGTTTTAAGAAGGAAGATAGAGTTAAGAGAATAAAGTGTATGGAAAGATTGCTGTATCTGACCATTAATGACCCTTCAGAGTACGAAAAATTGACTTGATTAGAGCCATTTTAAGATAGACCTGGAGCAGCCACTGCAGAGAAACAGTCCTACTCTCTTTGTTTGAACTGGGCCAAAACCTTCAGACTGGGCGAAATGGCTATTGTTTTAAGCAATCGTTTGAGAAGTCAGCAGGAGGAGGAACACCTGATCATCACACTGAAAGCTATGGACTTTCTGAAGATAGAATCAGCAGTCAATTGGAGTAGCTGAGCTTATTAACACCCACAGAAAAACTTTTTTAAAAACTTCTTCAACTCATGCAATTGCCCCCTTCCTTTTCTCCATAAAAACCCTTGTTTGGATCCCACAAGTGGGAACACTATTTGGGTTTCTGCCTGAATCTGTGCTTCCCAAGTTGTAATTCTCTGATCCCAAATAGATGCTCATTTGCCTATCACCTTGGCTCTTTATTTTCAGGTTAACATATTTGGTATCAGAAGTGGGACCTACAGTAAACTCACATTCATGGACCTGTGCTGTACACACATCAGAGACTTGCCTGTGTGAAAGATGTGACTGAGACAAAACTATTAACTCCTCCCTAGAGAATTTCTTCAAAGTACAAATGTCAGGGAAATAATTTTCATCAAAAGAAGAAGAAAGGAG